TGGGCCGCTCCTATCGTCGCCGTTCAGAAGAAAAATGGTTCAATACGACTCTGCGCAGACTACTCGACAGGACTGAACGACGCACTTGAACAGCATCAGCACCCACTTCCAACTCCTGATGACATTTTCACGAAACTCAATGGAGGACGCTACTTCTCACAGCTGGACCTTGCTGAAGCGTATCTACAATTGGAAGTGGACGACGACTCAAAGCACCTGCTGACGATCAATACGCACCGAGGACTCTTTCGTTTCAATCGCCTACCATTTGGAGTGAAGCCTGCTCCTGGCATCTTCCAGCAATGTATCGACGCTCTCATTGCCGGACTAGATGGAACTGCCGCCTACCTCGACGACATATACTGTCACTGGCAGAACCATCGACGAACACAACACTCGACTCGACGCAGTGTTCCAGCGAATCCAGGACTATGGATTCCGTGTTCGCCGAGAAATGCAACTTTTTGCAAACACAGATCAAGTACCTTGGCTTCGTCATCAACGCGCAAGGACGACGCCCTGACCCAGACAAGGTCAAAGCCATTCAAAAGATGCCAGCTCCAAAAGATGTCAGCCAGCTACGTGCTTTCCTCGGACTCATCAATTTCTACGGAAACTTCGTCAAAGATCTGCACAATCTACGCGCTCCGTTAGACGCCCTTACGAAGAAGGATGCTGTCTACACGTGGACACCGGAGTGCCAATCTTCCTTCGACAAGATAAAGGCAATGCTCAACTCGGATCTTCTACTGACTCACTTCGATCCGAATCTACCGATCATTGTGGCAGCCGATGCTTCTAACTACGGAATAGGAGCAACTCTCTCACATCGCTTTTCCGAATGGATCTGAGAAGGTCGTCTACCACGCAAGCCGTTGCCTTACTTCAGCGCAGAAGAACTACAGTCAGATTGAGAAGGAAGCCCTTGCTCTCATATTCGCCGTGCAGAAATTTCATCGCTTTGTCCACGGACGACACTTTACGCTGAAGACCGATCACAAGCCACTCGTCGCTATCTTTGGAAGCAAGAAAGGAATACCTGTCTACAGTGCCAACCGTCTTCAGCGATGGGCCACGATGCTACTCAACTACAACTTCGCGATCGAATACGTCAACACAAAGGATTTCGGACAAGTGGACGCTCTCTCACGTCTCATAGCGTCGCACTCATCAACGCCGGAGGACTACGTTATTGCCAACGTAGATGTCGATGTCACTGCCGAGTTCATCGAGAACTGCTGTCACCTTCCGGTCTCTGCCGAAACCATCCGGACTGCTACAGAAGATGATAATGTTATCAAGAAGGTCATCGACTACACAAAGTCTGGAAAATGGCCCAAGATAGATCGCAATTCTTCTTTCTGGCACTTCTACAACCGGCGAGATACTCTGACAACTGTCGATGGTTGCCTTCTCACCGCATCTCGCATAGTGATACCCAGATCACTACAAGACGCAACGGTCACTGCAACCTGCACAAGGCTCATCCAGGACAAACAAGGATGAAGATGCTAGCACGAAGCTACGTCTACTGGCCTACACTGGATAATGACATCGAACAACTCGTCAGGAACTGCAGCAAATGCGCTTCAGTGGCAAAAGATCCCGTCAAAGCCGAACTGTACTCCTGGCCGAAACCAAACTCTCCATGGATCCGCGTACATGCTGACTTCGCAGGACCCATGAATGGACGATTTTACCTGATACTTGTGGACGCCTATTCCAAATGGCCTGAAATCGTTCAGATGTCATCAATATCTTCCACGGCTACTATTCAAGTGATGAAGGACATTTTCGCCAAATACGGAAATCCGACGATTCTTGTCACGGACAACGGGACGCAGTTTACATCGTCGCAATTCGCCTTGTTCTGCCGTTCCCGAGGAATCACACACATTCGTACGCCGCCGTTCCATCCGCAGAGCAATGGACAAGCTGAACGCTTTGTGGATACCTTCAAGCGAGGACTCGCCAAGTTGAAGGGGGAGGAACCGACAGCTGACGCTCTACAGACGTTTCTGATGGCTTATCGCTTCCACGCCATGCCCGTCTGCACCGGACCAGCGCTCACCTGCCGAAGCCTTCCTGGGACGCCGACTACGAACCGATCTCGAATTGCTGCTACCTCAAGAAGACGTCACCAATGGACCACGAGACGTCAAGATGGAAATGCAATTCAATCGTCAACATGGAGCACGACACCGAAGCTTTGAACGCAACGACACTATTTACGCCAAGGACTACAGAGGACTAAAACAGTCTTGGACACCTGGTGTTATCGTTCGACGTGTTGGAAACGCAACCTACATCGTACGTTGTGGAAATCTGCTATGGACTCGACACGTGAATCAGCTGCGACCCAGAAGCGACACAACTGCGACGACAACGACAAACGTACTTCTGGACGTGTTCGATCTACCACTCTTCGATACGAGGAACGACTGCACGCCGCGGACGACTCCGATCAATCCACCACGACGATCGCAACGCAATCGACGACAGCCACGCCGACTCCAGCTGGACCCCCGAAGGTCGATTACGATACAACTTAGATGGGAGGTGTTGTAGGGTGTTATCGATCTATGCTTATCAGACGTGTTGTGACTGGTTTGCAAACCCGCGCATTGTACGTAGCAATGTAATAATAAGACTGAGATGTTTTTGTGTGATGTCGAAGTTCATTGCTTCAATAAATCTTCTCGTCTACTGGTGCTCTTCGGCAGTCTACTCCACCGTCTACAACAACTGGCGATCAGCTTCAGGGGACCTGCTCATTCGGAGTCCATGTTGATCTTTGTCACTTGGGTTATTCCCAGCAAAGCGGGCCTCTCAGGAATTTTAAAGGGGTAGACGATACAACTGCACTTGTTTTTGAAAACGAAGATCCTTTTACAAAATTAAGATTCTCTAGTTTATCATCGACAGTTGCTTATATTCTCAGTTGAGAGGGTCTCGGAGGTAGTGGAGATCGTGGTGAAAGTACCCTTTTTTTGGCAGCCAGGTGCGTGTCCACTATAGACTTCACAACACAAATGTCGACGGCCTCAGCAAAGTGTTCTGTCAACGGAATGAATACATATTATGCAGTTGTATTTTTCCATTTGTCACCAATTACTGCTTTTATTATCAACTACCAGTTATCACTATAAACTACTAGTTATCGAATTTAGTTGGAGGCCGTCGTCACTTATGTTGAGTGTTTATTGCAGAACTCCCCGTCCGCTGTAGAGAAAGGATAGATTGTCCGGCTAGAATAACTTCGTATAGCATACATTATACGAAGTTATACGAAAATCGGGTTGCAAAAGTATCGAATTTGGCGCAATGTAATGGTTGACCCTGCTTTAGACCTTCTAGCAAGTAGTGTATGCGACAAATCGCCAGGACATAAAGGTCAACAAAGATAATCTCTCCTTTTTCAACATTCCGTGAGCCCATCTCTGCTGAAAGTTGCTGTGGTGTGCATGTGAAGAGTTTGGAACAGGCTTCTCCTTTCTGATTTCTACATATTTGCTCCACCTTACCCTTTGAAAGCAGTTTTTGACAGCGTTAGCCTTTTTTGCAATCCACTGTCATAACCGTTTAAGGTTTGCTATCGTTATTTGTGTGATGCTCTAGCACACCCTCGGTTGGAGGTGCTAATTGGGACAGGAAGCAGTCCTGAATTGATGAAGTTCCAGAACAGCTATGCCTACGTCTGGGCTTTTTTCATAGTTTGCGAAGCGTTGCCGTGAAAGGTAGTAGGCAAGTGGAAAATTGAAGGTGCATCCTGGAATTGGTTCATGGAAACAACCTCTATAGTTAATTGCAGAGACAGTGTCACTTTCGTCACTCGCGCTAGGGGTTAAGCAATCGCATCCATGCCCGTCTCATTCGTCTATGCTTGACCATCGTTGTGAATGCCTTGATGCCTGCGTCTCGCTCATCCCCTATGCTCTCTCATCTTCGAGCCTGTTTTCTCGCGACGGTGCCGATTGTCCCTCAAACAGTATACCTTATCTAGTAGGCTTTCACTGCACAAAAAAGGAAACCATCACTATCGGTGGTTTCGTCAGTTTCTTTTTTTCAGTGACTGTTCATTTTGCACACCAGCTTTCATTTTGGAATGCAATTTCCACACCTACAAGATGGCGGATTGTGCCTTGAACTTGCTGCTCAAATTTCAAAATCAAGCCATGGGTAGAATGATGATTAGTCGGGTCAGCAAGAGCGATGGTGGGACAGTGGCAGGTTGCTCGGTTCTTTTCTGGTAAGCTGGGAGCCCTCATTTGTGCTTAACGTAGTAAGCGTATAGTAATATGTATAACAGGCTAAATTGATTGGCGCGCATCGATTTCCTTGTGCTCAGCCTCGCATTTGACTTCTGTTGTAAACCGTACAGATTCTTCTAGTCTTATGTACGTTGCCTAGATGGGGGCGGGTGATGGTTCTCAGTGCGGTCCATCCGCCCTTTGCCTTGCACGATAGCTATTGTGGTAAGTTGAAAATTACCATTCCGATATTTCACACGGGGATGCATAGGTCAGTTGTAATAGCCGGGTTTCGGTGCTTATCGAGTATATTGGCAGCACATTAGTGTATGAATGCAGAGCATCTTCTCCCCTTCGCTGTAGTCCGAAGACGTTTTGAAGTGGAAGAAGCTTCACGATTGAGTTAGTTTGTAAACTCATCTCGATGACGAGGATTTTGAGGCTTTTGAGAAAATGACCGGTAATAATTGCTTCATAATTGATTCACAACAGAAAAATTTAACTATAAACACAACAAAGTTTGAATTGAACAAGTACCAAACTGCAGGGAGAAAGTCAATAATACCTGGGTCTTTCACCTGTAAGTCTGAGGTGGACGAAGAACCCTAGAACCACCTCTGCCAGTCATTTTCGGGATGAAAATGATCCCACTAACTCACAGCCTTCTTGGAATCATTGTTGAAGTCTCTGAAGGTCGCCTTTCAATGACTGAATAAGCTGATCTGTGCCTAACCTGATGTCTCTTACAGGATGGGGCCACATCGAGCGCTGTACAACGCCTTGTGCAGATTTGGCGACAAGGTGGTCTATCCCGTTCTGCCAGCGTTCGCAAAGCCGGCGTGGAATCATCCGGCTGGGCCAAAAACCGTGTTTTTCTGGGCTCCAACCATCAAATGGGCCCTCGTAGCGGCTGGACTGGCTGACTTGCCGTCGCCCTGCACACAAGCTATCACCCTATCAGGTACGACTTAGTTTCATCAGAAAAATTGGTTATTTTGTCGTCACCTTCAAAAGTTTCTGTAATAGATGAATAATATAAAAGTTGCTTTTTTTCTTCGTTCATGTGGTAGTTTTTCCCATTTGCGTTAAGGTCGATCGAGCTTTTTTTTTCTATAAGCCATACTCTGCTGTATTCGGAATAGCGCACGTACGCGTGCATCTAATAAATAAATAAATAAATATGGATGATGCTTCGGGTATTCTTACAGCCCATATTTTTATTTTTTAATTGTTTTCAGAAGCAATGTGACGTGGCTGGAAGATCAGAGGATTTGAGTGACGTCTTGGCTGATTAGTGGAAAGGGCGGGGTGGCTCCGTCCAATACCCCAGTGTGCTGAGGGTTAATGGTCCATACAATTTGTCATCAAACCGCCCCTCTTCGAGCATTTGTGTCAGTAGGATTTTTCTTTCTATTAATTCTTAACGTCTGACTTTAGTGTCATCAAATCTGTAGGGGGGGAAGACCATATGGTGAAAGGAGTTAACCTTTCGGCCCTGGCGGTGGCAATTGCCACCATCAAATTCAAACGCTTGCATTGCCGCTGAAACAGCATGGTTTTTCTAATCCTGCTAGAGGTTGCTTCAGTCAACCTTCCCCTTCCTAATTATGAGCTAACCTGCCATTTCATTGTGTGTTGCTGTTAGTATTACAAGTATTTGTGTACAAGTGCAACAATGAATGGGCGCTGACCCCCGCAACCGGCCAAGTAAGTGTGACTTTTTCTTAAAATACTTGAAGTAGATCCATTCCTAAATCAAAATTATGGGTTATAATGTTATGCAAGATTATAAACTTTTTCGGCATAACTATGAAATTTCGAATTGTTTCGACATAAGCTTAAAACTAAGAGGTGGGGGGGTGGGCCAAATTTCAAAGCTTCTTATTTCCTTTGTTTGTAATCGAATAGCTTCCAAATTTTGCCATAATGATACTTATATGCTCACAAGTATAAGAATGGAAGAAATTTCCACGGGAAAAATTCAGGTCGAAAGTTAGTACTTTATGCACATTTCGTGTGGTCTGCTCCTCAGGTATTCGCCCCTACTCGGATAACCGTAGCCTTTGCAAAAATCCACGTTTAATGAGTTGAAGGATTACCCTTACAGCGGTGGCACAGCTCATTAATTCGCAGTGTAAATTGAAATATTGGAGGGAGTGACTTCAGCCTGAAAGAACTACCCTCTTCTTCGGAAGGCGAGAAGAGCGTCGAGGGCGGCTTTTTCTTTTTTTTTTCTTGGCCTGTTAATTTTTGATGTGTTGTGTCTGCACTCGACGTTTTTCCCGTTTTCTGAAATAGAGGATGCAGTGCAATGCACTTCGCTTCGATCTAAGTCTTCTGCCTGGTGGCTACCATAAATTCATATAATGGCTTGCGGAGAGAAATTTGGGTATTTATCCCTTCATGCACGCTGATGCTGAGTAATTGATCTCGAGGCATGCGGAGAGTATTCAGCTAATGACGAGGACCCAACTAGCTAGCTCGGCAGTAGTTTGACTCACGTAAATGCAGGAAGGGCCATATTCATGAAGAGAAGAGGTAGGCATAACTGCTCCCACAATCAGTCATGATAAATGTGATCATTGCTCTTGTAACTGAAGGTGGAGGGCGGAAGAGTACGGTGTGGACAAGCAAACGCGAAATACGAGGGAATATTGTTTGACGCAGTGATAAGGGTTTTTCGATTCATGTTTGGCATATGGGGCTTGCAGCGATCGAAACGCACATCTGAAAGTTACGACGACGATGGGGGGGGAGATGGCAGCGAGGAGAGACGCAGGGACCGTGTGTGTCGTGGATGTCTGTAGGGTGCAGATGTTCTCGTGTGCCATAATTACCATCGTTGTTTGTGGGCTTATAATGAGTGACTAGAGGTAATTCTGCCGCACGTGCCTTATCTAATTCATCCAGGCTAGTCTTTATTCGAAAATTAATTGAATCGTTAATTTGCCGTTGGTTATTCGACTGGTATTGGCACGCAGTATCGTAGCATTCAGCACAAATTTCTAAACAATACATAGAAACGTAAAGTCTAATCGGTGATGTATCTCCCCGTCATTATTAACTACATCGATTCCATTTCGAAGGATCCCAGGTCAGAATAAACAGATATGGAGCCATTACGTGTCGATAGTTTCGCATTTGGATGACGTGTTGTTTAAAATTAACGTGAAAAAGTATCGTCTGTATGAAGGAGGCTCAGAGCTGACGGAATCCCCCGCTATTGAAATATGTACAACTGTAATATGGATGAGATGATATCGAACAGTTATTATTCGACATGGCTGGTTCAAAAACTGGTACTCTTCACTTCATAAGCTTGATTCTAGTCGAGAAATACGTCGTACAAGATTTCTCACGTTGTTGAGAGTAGAATGTAGCGTTTTCAGCTGTTTGAGGCACAGGGGCGTGGTATTGGGAATGCCAAATCTATTGATTCTTGTCTTATTTCCCAAGTCACAAACCTTACAGAATTTTCTACAACCTTATTTGATCAATTTTCTTCTTTCAGGAGACAAGTCATGATGTAGCGGGATTTTCAAATAAGTTTGATTACAGTTTTGCTTTCACATTTTTATTGACAGAAAACTCTGATCGCCCTTGGAAATGAATGTAGGATGGTAAGGTGGAGTGGTGAGGGGAGAAAGTTAAAGGGAATCCTTAGAAATTTACGGGCTGGTTCTTGTTTTCCCCAATGACTTCGCTTTGGGAGAGGGATACGGCGGCTGCGGCCGTCAAATGCGCTCTCTTTGTGCTCTTCATTCACGGCTTAGAGTTCGACTTTCAGCTGCCTTGCAGCTGGGTAGCCATGTGCTGACGGCATAGTAGGGGACGGAGGCGTCGGGGGGCGGGGTAGTCGTCAAGCACTTCGGAAGGGGGTGGGTCAGCCAGGCCGTGAGAGCGCCTCAAGTTGTTCTCTGGGGGAACAAAGTTTCCCTTGCAGTACTCATATTTGCCCTTCTTTATCGCTCAGTTTATCATTCCATCTCCCTTTAAGAAGCGAAGCGATTGCTATGTATGTGCATATCTGAAGTCTCGAAAAAAATCGTTTAGAATACGGCTATATGTGCAACAGGTGCCATATGGACGCGATACTGTCTTGTGATCACGCCGATCAACTACTATCTCAGTAGTGTGAACTTCTTCGTTATGTGCAGCGGGCTGATACAGCTGTGTCGGATCGCTCATTATAGGTATGCTGAATTCTTATGTTTTTAATTTTCTTCCTAATGAAAATTTTTCAGATACACTAACCCTGACTGGGAGCAGAAAGAACATTCCTAGAGTGTAGAAGAATAGAAGGTTAGTGCATAAGTATACCAAAAAGCTCTTTATACTACTCAATATCTATATGAACGCGCTGAAATATCTTGCGTTTATACTCAGCGAACTTGCCATACCTGCGTAGCACCCACCATTTTAGCTCTCGCTGCCAAGAAGCTGGCACCTGGGTCTTTCGCCACCCTCTGCTCTCCTTTGAAAAAGCGATTCTTGCAGCGATCAACGGCTGCAAGCTTTGTATCGATGGTAGGGTCACCCGTCCAGGTCGTATCAGGTCTGGGAGTCTTATTTCGAGATCATGGACGGGGACATGGGGAGGCAATGAGTAGTTTTTTTTTGAGAAGTTTGAAAATTTTTGGCAAAATTCCGCCAATCGCCGTTTCAGCAGGTATCTATAATCCTTGAAAATTTTGTGAACTGTAGTTGGAGTGAGTCACTTTTTAACCGACACGATGACACTGTTGTCCACTGTAGGGTGGGAGGGGAGAGGGGCGGGGTCGTGCGACCGAAACAGATCATTGCCACGGTTGACCCTGACTTGTTCCTGGATGAGATAAGGTGTAGATAGGTGAGGCTTATGGTTAGTTCTTTTTATTGGTATTGTCGCGGAAGAGCCATAGTAGAGCGGAGCGCCTGCGTTGTCCAGCTCATCCACCTTGGATATCGCTTCTATAAAAACCATGTTTTTCTATGAAAATACTCTTTTTTCTTTCTTTCGTTTCCTGTGCCCATGTGTGTAATTAATCATTGCAGGTAAAGTCATCACTAGTTCTTGCTGTAGACGTCACCTCTCTCACAGAAATCCTCTTACACTAACCAAAATGCTCTACTAACCAAAAATGCTTCTTATCAGGTTTTATGTTAACATGTTGATATGGATGCTAATAAATGGGTGTGCCATTTGTCTCCTTTTCTGCTGACGAGACGATGTGGTCTTCGAGTTTGAATTTAAAGGGGCGTCCGCAAAAACGTTCTTGCACTCTGTTCTTTCCCATTAAGTATATCTCAGTTGTGACCAGTAGATCAAAGTACAAAGTTTCATGAAAGAAGTTTACGAAAAGAAACAATTTACGAAAACCACACTCTATGGACGGTCGAGGGTAGGTCGGGCGGAAACAAGGGAACGCATGGAAAGAAGTGCGCCTTGGGGTGGCCACGTATCAGGCGACGCATTGGGAGAATCGGGTTAAAGCGTTTGAATTCGGAGAATACAGGGTGGCTACTAAATATTGGCGCATGGATTGTTGACCATATTTTGAAAACGAGAAGCTTT